TCAAAAGACACCTTGAGATAAATGAAAATGAAAACACAACAACCCCCAGATTTCTGATCAAGATGGTGGTGTAGGTAAACACGGTACTCACCTCCTCCCATAACCACATCAACATTACAACTCAACTACATAACAACCACCATTCAGAACCACCTTAAATGGAGCTGAATGGAAGTCCTACAACTATGAAATTAAAGAAGCCTCATCAAGAATGGCTACAGCATTGGGGAGGCAGCTGGAAAGGCACCAGAGACATAAAGGGAAAAAATTAGTTGTTTGGTATCTGGAGCTGAAGAGGCAGCTTTCTTGGGACAGACGTGCTGGTGGAGGCCATTGAGCCCTTCCCCCCACAGGCCCGGCAGATAGGCACCATATCTGGGACTCCAGCAACCTGGCTCACACTGTTTGCCCCACCCTGGTGATTCCCTGAGGCCCTGCCCTACCCAAATTCTGGGCCCACTCAAGCTGTTTCCAATAGCTTTACCATAGGATTGGCCTGTCTTGGATCCTGCTTCTTAAATTATCTCAAACAAGCAGCATTTGGCCTCAGCGAGCCCCATACCTCTCGCTAAGTGGCCTCAGGCCAGGCACTAGGAGCAGCCAGTCTTGGTTCACAGCTTGGCTTTGCCTGGGCATCTCCAAGCCCGACACAAGAAGCAGCCATCTGCAGACTGCTTTGTAGCTTATGCCTGGTGGCCCCGGGTAGAACACAGGCAGTGGCTGACCTTGCTCCAGAGCCAGCACAGCCAGTGGACAGCTTCAGACCATGTCAAAGCACCACCACCCAACCACCTCCACAAGTGACACACTAAAGGAGTGGACTCAGTGGGTACCAGAGCCCTGCTGAAGTAAATCTTGCTCTGTGTGGTGGCCCCTGCACAGTTGATCCTGAAGAGAGTCAGAGGTTGGTGGTCAGTGGACACAGCCAGTCCTTTCAGCTGTTCAGCCTGAGTAAATCTCTCCCACTGACGTGCCAACAGAAATCAAGACTCAATTACAACACAAGAGGGTACAGTCCACATGAGGAGTGCAGCAGCTGGGGTGACCACAGAGGCTGTGCCTCTGGACCCAATAGGACATCTACTACAATAGGCCACCCTAGGAAGCCTAGGAGGAATAGCAACTCTACGTAACACAAAGAAACAAGCACAGGGAGGCAGCCAAAATGAGAAGACAAAGAAACATGTCCCAAATGAAAGAACAGAACAAAACTCCAGGAAAAGGACTTAACAAAATGGAGATAAGCAATCTAACAGATGCAGAGTTCAAACACTGCTTATAAGGGTGCTCAAGGAACTTAGTGAGAATTTCAAGAAACTTCGTGAGAACATCAAGGAACTTAGTGAGGACCTCAAGAACACAAAAAAGGACCAGTCAGAAATGAAGGATGCACTAACTGAAATAAAAAATAATTTACAGGGAATCAATAGTAGAGTAGGTGAAGCCAAGAAGCAAACCATCGATTTGGAATATAAGGAAGCAAAACACACCCAATCAGAACAGCAAAAAGAAAAAAAGAATCCAAATAAAAATGAGGATAGTGTAAGGAGCCTCTGGGATAACTTTCAAGCATGCCAACATTCATATCATGGGGTTACCAGAAGGAGAAGAGAGAGAGCAAGAAACTGAAAACCTATTTGAAAAAATAATGACAGAAAACTTCCCTAACTTAATGAAGAAAACAGACATACAAGTCCAGTAAGCACAGAGAGTCCCAAACAAGATGAACCCTAAGAGGCCCATACCAAGTCACATCATAAATAAAATGCAAAAGGTTAAAGACAAAGAGAGAATCGAGAATCTTTTTTTTTTTTATCCTCACCCAAGGACATTTACCTTCAGATTGAGCAGAAGGGAGAGAAGGAGGAAGAGAGAGAGAGAAACATTGATGTGAGAGAAACACATCAACTGGCTGCCACCCACACAACCCCAACTGGGGCCAGGGACAAACTGCAAGCAAGGTATGTGCCCTCAGTGGGAACCCGGGTCTCTCTGGTCCGCAAGCTGATGCTCTAACTGCTGAGCAAAACCCGCCAGGGCCAAAGAGAGAATCTTAAAAGGAGCAAGAGAAAAGCAGTTAGTTGCCTAAAATGAAGCACCCATAAGACTGTCAGCCGATTTCTTAAAAGAAACTTTGCAGGCCAGAAGGGAGTGGCAAGAAATATTTAAAGTGATGAAAAGCAAAGACCTACAACCAAGATTACTCTATCCTTCAAAGCTATCATTTAGAATTGCTGACCATATAAAGACAAGAAAAAGCTAAAGGAGTTTATCACCATCAAACCAGTATTATATGAAATGCTGAAGGGTCCTCTTGAAGATGAAGAACAAAAATATGAATAAAATGGCAATAAATACATATCTATCAACAACTGAATCTACAAACAAAATGAACAAGCAGAACAGAAACAGACTCATAGATACAGAGAACTTTTTTATGGTTGCCAGATGGGAGGGGTGTTGGGGGGATGGGTGAAAAAGGTGAAGGGATTAAGAAGTACAAATTGGTTGTTAGACTGAGGGAATGGGGGAGGTGAGGGGGGGGAGATAAACCAAAGAACTTACATGCATATATGCATAACCAATAGACACAGACAATAGTGTGGGGAAGGCAGGAGGGGGGCGGAAATGGGGAGGATGGGGTAAAGGGGGGGGAGGGGGACTCTGTAATACATTCAACAATAAAGATAAATTTTTAAAAAATACAACAACCCCAAATCTATGGGTGTTCGTAAGAAAAGATTTACTAACAAGTGATTAGAAGGAATTCTCTTCCAGGAGGAAGGTAAAGGATGGAAGTCAACCTGGAAAACAAATGAAGCTTACAAAGTGGGTCAGGCAGCAGATAATGCTGAATAATGCTAAAGGTCAGTAAGGTTCTGGGAAGGAGCTTGTATGTACCCTGACCCATCAGGGCCTCCACAGTTTAATACAGATGAAGATCAAAACGGCCAGGGCCAATGGCCCTCCGTTCTGGCTGCCGAGGCTCAATGGCACACCTGTGGGAATCTGAGGGCCCTCCAAACTTTTGAAAGCTCTCTAATTTACATCAATGTGCCATGGCCGTCCTCCTCTCCAGAACAGGTGGAAATAAGACAAATAATATGGTTAGTAGGATAGGACCTGTTCTGAATACCACTCATATCCTCCCCACAGGAAGGAAGTGGTCCCTGCTACATAGCAATACACAAAGGAAACAATACACAATACAAAACCATTCACTCTGTCTCAGCTTACAGGCAATGGATACTACGGGATAAAAGCCACAAAAAAGCACAGGCCCGCCCTGGCCAGTTTGGCTCAGCGGTTAGAGCGTCGGCCTGCGGTCTGGAGAGACCCGGGTTCGGTTCCCGCTAAGGGCACGTACCTCGGTTGCTGTTTGTCCCCGGCCCTGGTTGGTCGTGCGGGTGGCAGCCACTCGATGTGTCCCTTCACGTCTATGTTTCTCACTCTCTCTCCCTTCCTCCCTCTCCCTCTCACTCTATCTGTACAAAAAAAAAAAAAGCACAGGCCCTTGCAGTGTCAGAGGTATGGATTCGTGAGAGAGACGGGGTGTATGGAAATAAAGCCAGAAATGTGAGTTAAGACCAAACTAGTTCAGAATAACCTGCGGGCAGCCTTCTTTCAGAGAGGCAATATAGAAGTGTATTTATGGCACAGGTCTGGAGCAACCAACTTAACTTTTTCATAGATTCATTTCATACATAAAAAAATATGATTATACTTTTGTTTTCCATTTAAAAAAGTATAACCATAGCACCATCCATTAGGGTTGATGTGAGGTTTAAGTAAATCAGCACCTGCAAAGACTTAAACAGTGCTTGGAACATAAGAAAGCATGATATGTATTAGCTATTACAATAGTTATTATTAATTCTGCAATCAACAATGCCAATGAAATGGGAGTGATAAGATCATAGTCTCTCGGGTGTTTGAGGGGGCTGGAAAACTAGTTAAGAGGTTACTGCAATTCTAGGTGAGAGGTGCCATCCAAAGTGGTAAACATATAGGAATGTAAAGGGAAGGGATGTGTCTGCGCAATCAAATGGACAAAACTTGGTAAATACCTGGATGTGGCTGGTAAGGAAAATGGAATAATTAGAGAGAAGATAAATGGATTTTGTCTGAAAGCATGTCCATTTTTCCACCAAGATATTATTGAAATTACACTGGGAAATTGTCTGGTCTAGACTGTGAACTGTTCACCTTGCTATACCCAATGGCATATGTCGTAAGACATCCAGAGCTCCTCCCTGTTCTCACACTGTAATACTCTGATCCTCTGCCAAGAAACCTAGATTTCACTTACCTTGCCTAAGGGTGACTTTTAACCGACTTGCCATGAACTGCTATTACACGGAGCAACTGATGACAGGGCTCAGGTGCAATATGATCCTTCCCCCAGGATGGCTACCTGGTTCCAAAGGCCTGCAGGAACGCCTGGAGGCTTGCTTAATATCCAACTCCTTTCCTCCATGGCGTTCCTCTGAAGCTTTAGCCTAAAGTTATTAAGTGCAACTTACAAGGAGGAGGGCAGCAGCCAAAAGAAGCAAGTCCCTAAAATGGCTGGAGATGATGACAAGCCCCTCCTCAGCGACACTGCTACCCCCACACGCTCACCACCCCCCACATCCAGTCTGAAAAGTCCAGTCTCCTTTCCACCTAGTCAAACCCAAGGATAGTTCCCACATACACACACCTCTGGCATCCACCCCGCAGATCCATGGGGCTGAGAATCAACAGACCCACGTTTTAACGTGACGGTTAACTTCTAAGAAACCACACGCTCGTGGGGTCTCAAACCTACGGCTGGATTCTGATAACCTCCCAACTCCCCACACGGGACCGAGTCAGCTGGAGGCGCCGCCCCCGCGCTCGCTCCTCCCAGCTCCGGGGGACCTGCCCCGGTCCTGACTTCCGCGGCCGCAGCCCCCCAGTCCCGCGGGGAGGTTGGTCCCGGGGTGCTGCAGCCCGGCGATCTCCGGCAGGCCGGCCGCTACCTGGTCCAGCAGCCGGTAGATGCTGATGCCCAAGGTCTCCACCAGCAGTTGCCAGTCGGCCCCGGCCAGTGCGGGCTGCTGGAGCTCGGCACAGGCCTCCAGGAACTGCTCCTGGGTAAAGCCTCCGGCCGTAGTAGGGTCCATCCTTCCGCAGCCTCAGCTCCTCCGCCTACCGGAGAGGCAGTAGGAAGGCTTGATGTAGGTTCGGGGGTGGGGCGAAAGGGTAGCCCAGTGTGATTGGCAGGAAACGGAGAAGTAATAGAGGGGAAGGCGGGACTCAGTGAGGGGAGGAGTCTAGCCGGAGGCGGAGCTGGGAAGGGGCGGGCCTAGATAAGTGGGCGGAGCTGAGCAAGGGATGAGGGAAGCTGGATTTGCGCTAGGGAAAGATGGAGGGAGGGGCTAGGGGCTAGGAAACTGGGGATGGGGTGCTTATTTATAGATGGAAGGAAGAAGGGAGACACTAATGTCATCTCAGTAACATCCCTCAGTAGCCCATCCCATACTCCTCCCCACCCCATAACCTCCAAAACTGCTTGGGTGGCTCTTTTACCTTCTCTGAAGAATATAGGGAAAGTCTCTGAGCGGTTTGATAGGCTTGGGAGGTGAGACGGACAACGTACAAATGCTGGAAAATCTCGGGGGTCAGATGCTAGAACTATATTTTTCAATATAATTTCTATTATTTCTGTTATGCATTTTAAAACATTATTCTGAGAAGAGGTCCATGTGATTCACCAGAAGGCCAGAGGGGTTCATTCCACAAAAGGGATTAAGACATGAAATCTATATTGGATCTACAAGGTAATTTGCCAGCCTAGAGGGTGAAAGATGACCTAAAAGTTTTATTGTGTCCACCAAGGATTTCTGCAGTTTGCATAATTTAGACCTTTTGCAACTCAAAGACCTTTTTGTCTCTAGGTCCCTTGGGTATTTCTATATTTTTTTTACCACTCACTTTACTTGGCTTTGAATAAAGTAGGTAGATTAAACATCAAAACATTACAACACCACATGAGTACCAATAAACTCTGGACACCGTGTTTCCTAATCTGTAAAATGGAGTAAGAATTGTGCCACCAGTTAGAATTGAGAAATAAAATAAACATGAAATAAACATGAAACATGTATGCACAGTGCCTATCAAAGTAAATGTTCAATAAACACCCCTACCTGTTTTTCATGACTATATTGAAATGTTTCTCCTTCTGTCCTTGAAAGAAAGCCTTGAACTTGATGGCAAACTGTATATGTGTGCTGATTTCCAAGAAGAGACATAAGGTCAGATTTGGCAGCATGGATGGGGATACTGCTTTATTCAATAGAATGGGAGGAGGGACGTGGTGTTTCTTAGACTGAATGCACAAGAGGTTAGAGACATACTTTCCTACAGTTTTTATTATGCCTTTTAAGTTCTCTCTTCTTTATTAAAATGATATATCAAAACTAAAATGCAGTTGCTTAAAAAAGCAATTTCATCAGAACCATTGGCTATGAATTGTTTTCAGATATCTTCAAAGAATCCCATTATAATGGTGTGCTTTGCTGAAACCACCTTTATCACTGTCCAGCAATAGGTGAATGAAGACAAGCATGAGGTGTAAATGGCAGGATGCACGATACAAAATATAAGGCAGGGAATTTAAACTGCATTTATTGCATGTGTTTAGAAGTGTGCTTACCTACTAAACTCAGAAAACGAATACCTGTATATTTGGGTATGTTGAGATTTACACCCATGTTTATTTTATTATATTTAATAAAGGAAAGAATCACATTAGAGAATAGCTCTTATTTTGTGCAAGGGTCTAGAAAAGACTTGGAAAGGGTATAAAGAAGCCTGTTTTCCTTCAGGACTTGCCTGTTATAATAGGCCAGCCTGTTTCCTTTGTGAAAACACTCTCTAGAGAAACTTACAGCCACTTAACAGCTGAAGCTGAAGCTCCTGGATTCAAACACAGAAATGCTGGATAAAATATACCCCAAATAGTCTCGAATACATAGTTTAGCTGAACACAAAGAAAGTGTAATGTGGGCCCTGGCCAGTTTGGCTCAGCGGTTAGAGCGTCGGCCTGTGGTCCTGAGAGACCCGGGTTCGGTTCCCGCTAAGGGCGCGTACCTCGGTTGCAGTTTGTCCCCGGCCCTGGTTGGTTGTGCGGGTGGCAGCCACTCGATGTGTTCCTTTCACATCGATGTTTCTCTCTCTCTCTGTTCCTCTCTCTCCCTCCCACTCTACCTGAACAAAAAATGGAAAAATGTCCTCGGGTGAGGATAAAAAAAAAAAAAGAAAGTGTAATGTGGTAATCACTCCAGATTTTTGCAATTCATATTCAAATAGTTCAGTAAAAAAAATATGTTGTAATTGATAGAAAGAGGATCCAAAGTGAGACAACATGCCCTGGCAGGGTGGCTCAGTTGGTTGGAATGTTGTCCTGTACCCCAAAAGGTTGCGGGTTTGATCCCTGGTCAGGGTGCATATGGGAGGCAACTGATTGATCTGTCTCACATCAATGTTTCTCTCTCTCTCAAATCAATAAAATATATCCTCAGGTGAGAATTTTTTTTAAAAGTGGTGAAATATAAACAACTAGTGAACTTAGATGAAGGATGGGTATATTTTTATTGTTTTATTCCTTCAACTTTTCTGCATATTTGAAATTATTTAAAATAAAAATTTCAAGAAAACCCAGCTATATGTGTGTATAGGAGACACAACAAAAATGTATACTCCAAAAACACAGAGGTAAATATATAGAAAATATACACAAATAAACCCTAAACAAAAGAAAACTGGTGTGACCCTAAAAGTAGTAGACAAAGTAGACTCTCAGACAAGAAAAAAATTAATAGAAAGAAGTTTGTAAGTTAATGATAAAGGACACAACTTTTCAGAAATTCTGAATCCTTAAGTTTATATTCATTTCACAACATTATCTCAAATATGTAAGGCAAAAGTTGTCATCAGTACAAGGAGAAGTCAGCAAATTCACAATTACAGTAGAATATGTTAAGGCTCTTTTATAGGAAATGAATGAATCAAGCAGACAACAAATTGGTAAAGATATGGAAGATGAGCATATAATTCATATGCTTGATCTAAAGGAAATATATAGACCTGCATACCCAATAAATAGAACACACATATTATTTGGCAACTCTCATAAAACATTCATTGGAATTGATTATCCTGTAAGTCACAAAAATTTTTTTACATTTATCTTTATTGTTGATAGTATTACAGATACTATTACAGATGTCCCCACTTTTTTCCCCATTGACCCCCTCCACCCTGCTCCTGCCTCACTGCTCCCCACTATCAAAGCCTTCATTGCACAATTTATTGTCCGTGTTCATGGGTTATGCATACATGCGTGTAAGTTCTTACAAAGGATGTTTTCATCAAACACATAGGAATCTGTATTATTCTCTGATAACAAAGGGAAACAAAAAATGGATACAAAAATGGCCAACCCTGTACCCCATACACACACACACACACACACACACACACACAGAGACTAAAAAAAAAACAAAATAAAACAAATACACACTTCCTCCAGGAACCCAACCAGCAATTAATTCCCTGCATCAAGTTCCTTTCACTGAAAATGCCTACAGAGTTCTTGTTTTCTGCACTTACTCCTGACTGATGCCATGTTCATTGGTTATGATACTTAATATTTTAAAGGTGACCCGTTCCTATCAATTCAAACTATAACTCCAGTGAAATTTAAACAAAAATCCTTAAGGGTGTTCAAGGACACCCTTGAACTGACATGCCAATTCTAAAACTTACAAGAAAGATGTAAGGATCAAGCAGTTTGAAAAAGTAGGGAGGCAATTTTTTTAAATAGAGGGGAAAAGAAGAGGAAACCGGCCCAATCAGATATTAGGGTTTATAATAAAGAAAATAGTATAATACTGACCTAGATCTAAGAAAAATAATAATAAAACAATAGAACAGCTTTCCATTTAGAAACAAATCCACATGTATATTGAAATAGAATGTAAGAAAAATGGACAATTTAAAAAATGGTGTTGGAACAATTGACTATCCTTATACAAAAATGAGATTCTGCCCTGGCTGGTTTGGCTCAGTGGTTAGTGTCAGCCCTCTGGCTGAGGAGTTGTAGATTCAATTGCTGGTCAAGGGCATGTATCTGGGTTGCAAGTTCAATCCCTGGCCCCAGTTGGGGTCACGCGGGAGACAACCAATCAATGTGTCCCTCTCACATCAATGTCTCTCTCTCCCTCCTCCTCCCTCACTCCCTTCCACTTTATCTAAATATCCTTGGATAAGGATTAACAAAAAAGATAGAGAGAGATTCCTAAATCATATCAAATACAAATATAAATTCCAGATGTTTAGAAAAACTAGTTGTATGAGGCAAAATGTTGATAACTGTTGTGTACATTAGAAAGCAAAAACTCCTACTTAACTACACAATATGAATAAATTAAAACCCAACACATAGACTGGTAGAAGACACAGCCAACAAAGGACTGTTTCAGACAATATACATAGAACTAGAAATCAACGTGGAAAACCCCGATGATGCAACTGAATATATCAATAGTGAAAAAACCCAAAAGGCACATTAACACATGAAAAGATGTTTAACTTCCATATGAATTGGGGAAATGCAAAATAAATTATACTATTTTACTTATATAAAATTGGTAAAACAACAACAACAACAACAACAACTTTTAAAGGCCCGGCCGGTGTGGCTCAGTGGATTGAATGTCATCCCTTGGACTAAGAGGTCCCGGTCCTAGTTCCATTTCCAGTCAGGGCACATGCCCCGTTGCAGGCTCCATCCCCAGTAGGGGGCGTGCAGGAGGCAGCCGATCCAAGTTTCTCACATCAATGTTTCCATCTCTCCCTTCCTCTCTCTTTCTAAATTCAATCAATCAATCAATCAAAACTTTAAAAAATAGTTGTTGGTGAATATACAGGGCAAAAAGGCTCTGATATGAAATGTTCTGGCTCAGTGTAAACAACAGATTGAGAAACAGCTGGAAAAGACCCATTAAGTTTGAGGATACACATACTGTCTGCCCCAAGACCCCACTTCTCTGAGTGTTCACGAGAGAACTGCTAATATTGCACAAGGGAGCACACTGCTTTAGTGGCAGAAAGTTGGAAACAGCATAAATACCAGCCACAGAATGAACAAATGAACGGTGGTATATG